AACCCCCAGGCCGCCTTCCCCGTGGAGATGTTCACAACCTGCACCAGGGCTGGGCACTGCCCACCTGAGGGGGCAAAAAGGGGCTGGGGGCCACCCTGGGACCCCCACACCCACCCTGGGACCCCCAAAATCCCCCCCAAAATCCCCCCGAGCTGCCTTCCTTGTGGAGATGTTCACAACCCGCACCATGTGCCGGGCACTGCCCACCTGAGAGGGCAAAAAAGGGGCTGGGGGGCACCCTGGGACCCCCACACCTACCCTGGGACCCCCACACCCACCCTGGGACCCCCAAACCTGCCCGAGACCCCCAAAATCCCCCCGAAAAAGCCCCCCGAGCTGCCTTCCCCGTGGAGACGTTCAGCACCTGCACCCGGGCTGGGTTTGGGGGGATGCTCGGGGGTCTCTGAGGGCTGTGGGGTTCTGAGATGTTTTCTGGGATATTTTGGGTCGGTTCTGGGGTGTTTTGGGATATTTTGGGATGGTTTTAGGGTATTTTGGGATTTCCCTCACCACGGTGAGGTTGTTGTCGAGCGGCTGGAAGGCGCAGCAGGGCAGCGCAGGGCTGGGTTCGGGGGGATGTTTGGGGGTCTCTCAGGGCTGTGGTTTTGGGGTGTTTTTTGGGGTGATTTTTGGGGTGATTTTGGGGTATTTAGGAGGATTTTGGGGTTTCTCTCACCACAGCGAGTTTGTGGTTCAGCAGCTGGAAAATGCAGCACAGAAGCACGGCGCCGTTTGGGTCAGGTTTGAGGGCATGTTTGGGGGTCCCAGGGGGGGTCTTTCAGCACTGCAGGGTTTTGGGGTGATTTTGGGATGATTTTTGGGGTGATTTTGGGATGATTTTTGGGGTGATTTTGGGGTGATTTTGGGGTATTTCAGGGTTTCTCTCACCACAGTGAGGTTATTATTCAGCAGCTGGAAGGTGCAGCACAGCAGTGCAGGGCTGGGTTCAGGAGTCCCAGGGGGGTCTCTCAGGGCTGTGATTTTGGGATGATGTTTGGGATGATTTTTGGGGTGATTTTGGGGTATTTTGGGATGATTTTTGGGGTGATTTTGGGGTATTTCGGGGTTCCTCTCACCACGGTGAGGTTGTTGTTCAGCGGCTGGAAGGTGCAGCAGGGCAGGGCAGGGCTGGGTTTGGGGGTCTCTCAGCAGTGTAGGGTCTCAGGGTGATTTTGGGATGATTTTTGGGGTGATTTTTGGGATGATTTTTTGGGTGATTTTGAGATGATTTTTGGGGTATTTAGGAGGATTTCGGGGTTCCTCTCACCACGGTGAGGTTGTTGT